TCAAAATTTGAGATCAAACGGTGCAAAACTTTTTGCGTTTTTGAGGTGTACACAAACTAACTAAATATTTTTATATACTGTAGATTACAGATGATAAAGATTTAAAGTAAAAAATATGCATGCACACCGTGTAGTTACGAGTGAAGTTTAGTATTGTACTGTACTGGTAAATTAATTATTGATAGTTATAATTAAATAATAAAAGAAAAAACGTTAAACATGACAAAAATCAGCAGCATCATAAAGTGGGTATATTCGTGTTTATGTGAATGAATTCGTTTGGTAAAATTTAAGTTAGTGTAATAGAGCGAGTGAACTTACCTAAATGTGTGTTTCTGTGTAAGATTATTCAGCAAGTAGTGTATTTAATAAAGAAACTAATACTTATCTTACACTTACTAAAATTACAAAAAATGGATCCCAAAACATAAGCATAATATTTTTTTACACTTATATACACGAGCCTAGTTACGTTAAATTATTTTTCATGTTTTTACTTAAAGATGCGTATCGTATAATAAAGCAGAGCCTAACAACTACAGGTTAAATTAAATGACCAGGGCGCTTAAAAAGTTTTGCGATGTGAAAATCTAAATGTTCTTGTCTTTCAATGTTTTAAAGGTATGTCTACGGATGTCGTGTGCGCTAAGTAGCTCCATCTGTTGTTTTGTCATCGCTCTTGTTGTCGGAATCGTCCCCTCACTGCTTCCGTTCAAATTGTTCTGTAAACCTAGTTGCATTCAACTATTTTACTGCAAATTAATTTAATATTTAGGTCCGGAGGAAAGAGGAAGATATAAAACATAACATAATCCTCACTACCTACCTACTAATACCTCTTTTGACATCGCTAAACTATACAAACATGGGTCATGCTAGAAATTCTGTACTGTGAAGTTAACACGACAAACTTGTTTCATTTAACACGAAACTGGTATCAGCTGGATACTCCCATACACCATATACTCAACTTAATACCGTAAAACGTTGGTGTACTAACAAAACTGTGAATTTCAATGCAAAACAGTACAGTACGCAAAAGTCCTTGCATCTGCCAACTATCTTCAATTAAGTCAATCTATTTAAATCAATATCTACAAGTATATGAATAATTAAAGTGTTTAAAACTATAATTTTTTAAAGTACCTATTATTCGATTTGTTTGTAAATTTTTCATCAGATATTTGTTAATGAATAACGTTTAAGTTCTAAATACACATACATGTGTCCCCATCGTCTTGACACAATGCTTACAAAAAAAAAACAACTGTGACTAATCTAAATAACGTAACCAAAATAAACAACAATTACAAAACAAGTAACATAATTTGATATCTGATGATGATGATGATGATGCTGGAATATAAAAGTAATAAAATGAGCATAATAAATTACATCTGTCGTGTTTGTAATAGATAAGCAACAAATTATGAAGTAACATGTGAATGCTTTTAATTGTTTTTAATGCATGATTTGTTATGTAACCATATCGGTTGTACCGTTACAAAACCGGTATTAGGCAATTGTTTAAATCATATTCATTTGATGAAGTGATTGGTCTTTATTACAGAGATTTCACATGACATGTGATTGTGATTTCGTCACAGACGAAGATAAATGGCATTAAAATCAATCAAAGTTATTTTTATCAAAGACGACCTTTGTTTGTATTTTAAGATTTAGACCTTTCGCGAGTCTTGCGCTAGCGTATTAATAATAATTAAGTAGCAGTGGTTTTGAAAATCAGTCACGAGTGTGGTGACACGATTTATAAATCATATAATTTATCACATGTGATTATTTTCTACCGAGTTTACTCTAATTCTGGGGCGGGGAGGGGGAGGTGCAAAGGGTGACTACGCACTTGTGACTCTTAAGTTGCAGGTGTCTATGGGCGACGGTAGTCACTTACCATCAGGTGACCCGTCTGCTGGTTTGCTCCTATAATTGTATATATTATATTTACTTAAACAAAGGTCTTTATTTATATGACTTTGACCGTTGACCATTTTTTTTGTGCGGTGTTTATGTCGGAGTCGAACTGATCAAAAACTGTACGCCGTGTCGGGTACTAGTAGCCGGGGAACCAGGACCAAAATATTTATACTTTGGACATGTTAACTTCTTAGTACAAATACTTTTATAAGTTTATTCGGTCGTTCTAATCAACCCTATATATTATTTGCATATAAAAGTTATCACAATATTTATATATTTTGACACCAAATATTTGATAGCCTTTGTCCGCCAAAATCGATTTGAGACAAGAAACTTAAAACAAGGGGTCTCTTATCTTAGCCTGGCAGCTGTCTTAAAACAACAGTGAGGATGAGGGTCCATAGATTTTATTATCACCGTATTTTTTTCATCATACACATTACCTATATGAATAATATGACGATTTATATGCGCCTTTAAAATGTTTTAAATGTCTTTCGTTGCGTCGTTTCAAAATAAACAGCGACAATGAAATAGTTAACGCAAGTGTAAAACATTTTAAAGGTGCGTATAAATTGTCATATTATTTATACAGGAAATGTGTTGATCAAGCAACCTTTTAATTAAAACCTCGTTTATGTCTTGAAACACTTTTTACTATCAAGTTGTAAAATCATAACTTTTAGTTGGCATTTTACTTATTATTAGCTGACCCGGCAAACGTTGTTTTGCATATACATTATTTCTAGGAAATATTTTTAAAAAATTTAGGGGTGGGTCACACTTGTCATTTAGGGGTAAGAAAAATAGATGTTGGCCGATTCTCAGACCTATCCGATGTGCACACAAAATTTCATAAAAATCGGTTCAGCCGTTTCGGAGGAGTATGGTAACTAACATTGTGACACGAGAATTTTATATATAACATTATTATGTTGGGTTTTAATTTTTATTTTCTCAGCTTGTTAGCTGGTTCCACCGTATTTACGGGCCTAAACCAAGTAAATACAGTATGTGGTGTGTACATCTTGGTGGTACAGTGTGGTGTCATCAAACTGCATGAATTTTCTGACGATTCTACATGTGTTTAATTAATATAGAGGATTTCTGTAAACTTATATAAACGAATTATGATAAGCCTTTTTGTTTTAAGCTATGGAAAAGAGGGTTTGGAATGATACCAGTCGGGGAGAGGACTATGGGGACTATTCCTATATTCTGAGCACTTCTTCTTTCAGGTCAGCATACTTATTTATTTTTTCGGATATTGTTTTTTGTAAATTATGTGTGGTCGGGACTGCAATATCTATAAGGTATGTGATTTTCCTAATCTGTTCTTATAGGGTTATTTCTGGTCTATTGAAATGTATCGTGTTATCTGTAAGTATATTTTGTGCGTGTCATTTTCTAGGATAGTTTGTGGCTTATATTTATATTAAGAAGGTTTGGTGCCTTGTATGTAATGTGAATAATGTTTACAACTTGATTATGTCCGTGAGTGTGGTCTGTTTGTGTAAGTGTTGTACATGCTCCTATTATTAGCTTACTATCATTACTTATAATTATTATTTTACTTTTTATTTTTTGGTGCAGGTGCATCCTGCCAACACGAAAAAATAATATAAAATATCAAAGAAGCCGCTCCTGACTAACTCACTACTACAATAAATATGATCACTTTCAATCCACTCTTAAATTAAACAGCTCAGATTTAATAAGAAAGGAAATGCAATAATGATGACCATAGGTAAAATATTTCATAACAAAAAGAGCTACCTGTGACAAATTTTTACTCCTATTTATCAAACTTCTTCTCTAAAAGTGTTTTGGTACAATGCCCTCTAAAATGTTTTATAGGCAACAACATGACGAGGAGAGGGCGTAATGTTGCATCAAGTGTTTACAGGCTTGACCCGCAAACACTCGATATACTGCGGACGTAAACCCACTCCTAACATAATCATTTAGCTTAATTTGAGGGTTTACTTACACTACGTAGGGTTCACAACCCATGTAACACAATAAAAACATATTGTGACTATTGATTAATTCCCTAATCCAATACACCTGTATAATCCTACAGAGATAAAAGAGGTGACTGTGAGTGTAATTTTGGTATTTATATTAGAAAACCGTATGCTTTAAATCAAATTGTTATAGATTTAACCACACTGTCTCCAAAGCCTCGACAAACAAGATAATAACAGTAAAACACGAAATCCACTGTATTCTTATAAAGACACAAAAGTTCAAGGGAATAAAATAAAAAGGTAAAAGCAAATAAATACGCATAAGCAGGCTATAAGTGTATTAACTTGAGGTTGACATTAATAACATGAAATAGCCAGATAGTGGCATAAAAAATATGTCCGCTTTATTTTGTAGTAGCGTAGGTGAGTCTCTGCGGTCTCCCCCTCCATCACTTACGCACCTTAGTCCCGATAACATTGAGTCCTGAAAGAACCAACTTAAAACTTCTACAATAAAATTGTCTGACGAGTAATTTTCGTTCGGAACTTTTTTATACTGACAATTATTTATGATAATAGCTGGCAATAAAGTCTTCAGCTGAAATATTATTACAGTATTCGAAATACTTAAAAATATATTTACGTTTGTCACGATACAGCAATTATTTTCAGTCCAAAAAGCAGCCATTCGTTTCGTTGTCACAAATAATTACTTTTACTTCATTTTCATGTTTCAAATATCCAGACATCGAAAATGACAGTTTAATCGTTCTCATATAATACTGCGGTCTAATTACCCTATCCGAGCCACGTCGCTAAGTGTTTAAGTATAGCTGTCACATCCAAATAAAACGCTCTTTCTCACATCCAAGAGGAAAAGTCATTGGGGAAATTCGTGGGGTGCGACGCACCGGCGTGTTTTCACTCCAGCCAGTGCCGTTTTCGCTTACGCCGCGAGAGGGCGCCGTCCGCGCGTCCGTGTCGACCACGTGACTTGTTGCTCAAAACACACAACTCTCGCTCGCACACAAACAAAACATGCATCCCGATGCAACCTGATATGTTTATTATGATAACGAGAACCTCGTAGACATGAATTTTATAGTGAAAAACCTCTACAACCATGCCAAAATCCTTATGCTATTAAGTTTCGTACTCGTGATATTATTCACCGGCATTTTTCTTCGTACAAAAAATAAGCAATCACAAATCTCGACTTTGGACGACATTCAAGAGCTCGAGGACAACACTGAATACGAGTCCATGATAAATGCGAGCGCAACGGAGCCGGGAAAAACGAGAAGAAAAGAATACCTGTACCGCCTCTTGACAAATACTACCCGTTCCCTCATACAAATGGAAATAAAAGCTAGGAGACTGGAGGAAAATATGCGCAGGATTAAGGAGAAGACTGCAGATTTATTGTGGAAGAACAAGGACAAAGCTTTGTGGCATATTTTGTTCAAGAATATAAGCAGGCATATTTCAATCCGACACGAGTTCCACCAACACGCAAGTCTGAGGCGGATAATGCAAGACAGCAACACGCACACACACAATAGAAAGGCGGGACGTAGAAAACTTCTGTACCGAAGATAAATAAAAATATCTGTAGTAGCGTTACTTTATTAAAAACATTTGTATACATTTTACGTGAAAGACTTTAAATTCTGAACTGACAATAAATGTAGTTTAAGTCGTATAGTGATATCTCGGTGTGTGTTGAAGCGGAGAGCAAGTAGTGCAACGCGTTTGTCTTACAAAACACGTACGTACCATATATGTGTCTTATTTCTTCATGTACTATTTTATTTCGAGGTGCTATATATTTGCCTTGTACGGTCTTAACGACGCGCTTTACGCTTACGCTTGCTGAATTATATTATTCTTCACATGTTTCTTCTCTTCTATCGATCTTGTAACTAACGGTTTAAAATTTTCTTATATTTTGTTTAGGGACATTTTGATTGATGGTGTTCATAGTGACCGTCTGGGCGATAAAATCTTCGTTTGTTTTCGGGAAGGTAAACTGATGATCCTTATTTCCTCTGAAAGTGATAATCATAAAAAAATTAATGATTTTTCAATATTACATTTTACTTTTAAGTACATTACGTCAATTTAAGAAAGAATCTATAATATATATATTTGATACAAGACTATAGTCAAATAATTTTATTGACATCTTGAAATAACTCCATAAATATTAGGGGTAAAAGTATGAAATTGCCGATTTGAACTGAAAAATTGAAATTCGTTTTTTTTAAAGATATAACATATTTACTAAATCAAAATACTTATTCTCATTATCTATAAATTTATGCATTTATGATAGAACTCTGGGGATCTAGATTCAACAAACTGTGCAGCATTTTGTACTACCGGGAAGATTTGGAGCAAGATCTGGCGAGTACGGAGGATGACTTATGGTTTCTAACTGCAGCTCCTGTAGAGTAAGAACAGTTTCTCTTGCAGTGTGAGGTCTTGCGTTATCATAGAGCAATAATGGTGAAGATCGATTCACAAGTCGGGGCTGTTTCACTGCCAGTTTCGCCATAATTGTTCGAAGTTTGGCACAGTAAACATCTGTTGTTATTGCCTGACATGTCTCACTTCGATCCAATATTCCTTAATTGCTGTACCGTTTCAACAAGGCAACACAAGTTTCCACACGCATTTCTTTCTGCAGATCAGTCCAATCATGAGACACTCATTTTCATATTTTTTATTATATTGAATTGATGCAAATGAGTCAATATTGTAGATAGGGTAACTTTGTTAACTTGGGTAGCTTCCACCATCTCATTCAATTCAGCGTAATTCACCTGTGTGGGCCGTCTTGCACGTGGTTCGTTCTTCAAGTCGAAGTTTCCATTACGAAAGGGTTTAAACCAAAAACGTAAGATGTGATCATTAGCAGTCTCTTTTTCAAACGCAGCGTTGATATTGCGAGTCGGTCAATCAATCAATCAATTTATTTTCATTGCGAACATGGGTTTATAATTAGGTGTTACACTTTAAAAATGTTCTGCCATATCCTACCTTTTGGCATCCAAAAAGATTACATTAAGAGTGAGTTTGAGCTTATTTAATGCAACATAAGAGGTCAGAATTCTATTTTCATGACAATATCAATTAAAATATAAATTCCAATAATATTATTATAAAAATTAAATGTCATAATCGTAATAAATAATGTATCACATTCATTAAAACTGTGTTAATAGTAGGTTGTCTATTGTACTTATTAAAACATGCATTCAATTATATTTTCTCCGTTAAGAACTCAGTTACAGAATGGTATGCTTTCATTGCCAAAAAATATTTTAACTTGCCCTTGTATGCACTTGGGCTCCAGTTTTTCCATTGTTGCGGTAAATGATTATAAATTACTGTACTGGAGCCATACAGAAAACACTTCTACGCATAAGTACAGTTATTGCTTGGAGTAGGCGCAGTCTACTATTATCACGTCTCTGTTCCGTGAAACCGTATCCTCAACCCGATGATATAAGCCTGGATTTGTTTTAACAAACATTGACATTTCTAAAATACGAGTCTAATGCTTGGAAACATCAATACTTTATATTTCTGAAAGTAAGTTTTACAGCTATCACTTGTTTTTAGTTTAGACATCGGCGGTATGCATGCCGTTTCTGCAGTATTAGTTTCGCGGAACTCGTATTAAAAAAGGCCTCAGATTTTCGAAGTATCCATCTTTTACGTCTAAGCTGAATAAAAAAAACAATTGAAAGTCTAAAATCAAATGTTGCACATTTTCAAAAGAAGAACCTCATAGGTATCTTGTAAAAAAGTTTCACACAAAAATCTCACACCATGAAGGTTTTATGTCAATTCAAAGTATCTTTTATTATACAACGGCAATTTCAGATACTTTCTCGTATTATTAAGAAGCAATGAACCACTTTGACTAAAAGGAGAAATTTATCGTTTAAATTAAAATATTTCATGGTAATCTATCATATACACTCAGATTTATAACCAAAGAGGAGGTAACGATATATTTAACACTCATTGCTTGTATCTGATATGGTCTCACTCGCATAAGACGAATTAAGACGAGACGAGACGATTTACTATTGTGGTAAATACTATTATTAGGAAGCTATGTAGAAACTATGAAAAATTAAAGGAGTCAGATCTTAAGAATTCTCAAGTGTTTCCTAAGCAACGAAAGATCGCAGATTTAATATAGAATCACAATCGACGTGATACTTGATTTTAACAGAGTGAGGGTAGCCTTTTCTTTTTCATAATTCATTTCCCACCTTGATGAAGATGACCTTCTGACATCGATGATATAATAAGGAATTTGTTAATCTGTTAACGGTGATGTAAAAGATATTTTATTTTATTATGTTTGGGGAGCTTACGGCTAAATTTACAAAATACATATTTTGTTAATTATCTAGATACCATTTACAAGCTTCCACATGTAGACAGAAGACAGTAGACAGACAGACAGACAGAAGACAGATATGCTTTTTAAGTGATAGCCTTTCTAATGAGAAATTAGAAATCTAAGAATCTTAGAAATCTAACTAAGTCTACTTTCTATTTTATTATTATCAAACTGCCTTATTCAGATAACCTTTGAGCCACCTTGGTTTTTTTCCTAAAAGTAACGCATCTTTTGGAACAATAAATATCATTTAAATATCATTGTCTTTAGGACATGAAATTATCGTAAAGATAGAATGCGTTTACAAACATTTTCTTATCTGTAGAAAAAAAAAACACTCAAACTGATATGATGCTAAAATAGTAAATTTGTACAAGCATCCAAACATATACGCCTGAGACAAACAAGACTTCACTCTATATGAGTGAAAGAGACGAGTATAAAAATGTGGAGTTTATCATGGTCATGTTGTTACTTGCTCATCAAGCATTTTACTGTCAGTGTGACCGGTCGCCGGTAGAACTACTTTGAACCTGCTATGTCGTGTTGTAAGTTAACCATTTATTTTGTTCCTGTATTTAAAATATGCATGACTTTTTTCGCAAACGATGTAAGAAGTTATAATATAAGTTATATTTAATATCAATGTCATCTTTGTTTAATTGTCGAAGTTCTTTACCATTGCAATATCTTTAATGTAAAAAATTTCACTGTAATATAATAATTTTATACTAATCGGTATTGACTTTGATATTGAAAACGAGATGATATTTAAACAAATACTTGCGTCATCAGTTTATCAGCTAAAAGATAATTGTTTTGTGTGTCTAAGACACGCAAAAAGAAACGAAAAAATAAATGATGGGTGAGACCAAACATGGAAGCCTGGTTTCGAGAGTGTTTATCTTAGCAATTGGCTGACTACAGCTAGTTGTATACTCACGTACTTAGGTAAACTAAGGATGGACACGCTCACATTCATACGTATATAAAAACTACTTCTGCATATCATTCCATTGTAGATATTGATAATTATAGTATTACCTGCGTGGATGTATCCACATACTACCTAATTAATGTATAAGCCATCGTTGGTATTAATATGGTATTGATTATAACTTGCGTCTGAAGTGCCATACGTTATTGTTTGTTTTTTAGAAAAAAGTAATCATATACGCACACAAAATGTACAATTATAAATGGGATATATTTAAATGCACATCAAGGTACTTATCACCCATCAATTTATACTCATCAATTAAATATTTTTTACATCAAATAAATTGTTTCACTGCAAATAAAGTAATTGTTTAACAAAACTAGTACTACAAACTAGTGTATTATATTTTTTCCTCACATGGGTGACAAAAAAGTGACTTAATGTACGAAAACTTATTATTTTCCATTTCAAATATACTGATTGCACATCAAATTAAACAGAGAGTCACACATTTAACAAAATTACTTTTTTTGCAACCCACGTCTGCCCAGCATGGTATACTAAGCCAATACCTATTTTAAAGGTTTGAGCCGCGATGGGCTGTTTCCCACGGGAACACGGGGTGCAGCGCACGCTGATTATTTGCCTGGTTTGGGTGTCTCAGCGTCGGGTCCTTTTTGCTGTCATTGGAGAGGATCTCTTGCTATCGGCTGTCAGACCGGCTCCATGGCCGGTAGTGACAGTTGTTTGACCGCGGTCGCATCCTTCTGCGAAGATATCGTCTGGCAGAAGGAGGCAGAGGAGAGGACCCGGGAGGATGATGTCCACCAGGACCCAATTCGCCGCCGACGAACCGGGCGGCACAGGTGTGCTTACCAGCTTGAGTGTGGCCGCGGGTGGACGGGACGGATTTTCTCCTCCCAGGGGGGTCCTTTAATAGAGAATATACCTGAAGGTGGTGCCCGCGCCGTTGCGGGCAATTGCTAGGACCCCTCCTCCTCCGGACGTCCTAATAACAGCAGTCCCCGGATCCCTCCTATTACAGGCGCAGAGTAGCACACCGTATGGTTTTAGTGGGTCCGATTCCGACACACCACCCAGCTGCATACCCCGGTGGGGTTTTTACTCCCAACTATTTTCATTTGTTCTGGCGCCGACCTCAGAACTTAAATTCCGCAGTCTCATACTGGGTCTAAAGAAGGTTAATACAACTGGAAGACAACTCTTAAAACGTTACCACCATATATAAGAGTGGAGACAGAGCCCTCGTCAATCATTATCGACCTATCTCTATTCTTCCCACCATACCAAAAATAGCATAAAAACTAAATAACAAACAACTAATTGATTACCTCGAAACTAAGAAATTGTTATCAAAATCACAATATGGGTTCAGATGGCATTTCCATAAAAGATGTTCATGTTGTAATAAATCATATTGTTGGCAAACTACACGGAAAGAAAAATGTCATCGCAATATTCCTGGATTTAGCTAAAGCCTTTGACACGGTCTCTGTCCCACTCTTACTAGATAAACTGAAAAGGTTGCGTATTCGGGATACACAACATACTATAAGTCGTTTTCCGACTATCTAACCGATAGGTATCAAAGGGTAAGACTCGGTGAGGTGATCAGCGATGATCTACCCATTAGAGTTGGCGTGCCTCAGCGCAGTGCACTACGCCCCACATTTTTTCTATCCTATTTGGCTTCCTGCGGATCAGACACAGGTGATCTCCGAAACAACCTTTTTGAGAGGGTTCCGTAACGCCTCTCGAGCCAATCCTCCATAGCAGGTCTTACCGCCGCAATAACTGCGTGCCCGTCATAAGGTTTGCCCTGCGATCCGAAAATTATAGGCAACTGCTTTGCAGACAAATTATTTGGGTTCATGGGAAGGTTGGTATAATAATATAACAAAGTGAACGAGAAATTGCATATATGCTCTCAAACTTAATTCAACTGTAAAAGAAAGGTCTCAATCTGGCTCAAGTCCCTTAGCTATGAGGCAAAAAATCTCTTATTTATACCCTCACAAATAATATTATTTACTAAGAGTACTTGCATCCTTTTAAATATATATAAAATAAACTTAGCTTCTTTTTTTACACACACTCCGCTAATAGAGTCCGACTCCGCACACACACACTCACATAGTAAATCTGTCATACAGATCCTCCTAGTGCAGATGCCAATCTCTCACACAGATTCACCCAGCTAAACTTACAACACCTAGTTTGAGATGGAAAAATTGTAACTATTCTGTGTGAGAGAGAAAAATAAACGATTATTATTTTTATTAAAATCGCCATTAAAAACGAGCTGTATCCAGAATAGTAGATTAGGTTTTAAAAAGTACCGCTTTTAAAATAATAGCGATGCGTCACGAACTCAAATTAGTGAAAACTCAAACAATTTTGCTGTGCAATCATTATTTTTGATTAGGATTGGGATTTTTTTTATATAAAAAGGAAGATTTTTTGATTTTCAGTTAAATACTATCCATTATTAATTTCAATAGATCCCGCTAAAATAGTGAACTTGATTACTAAACTAAGTCTATCATAGTTCAAACACTTTTTAATAGTCAACTGACTATTAATATTTAAAAAAATAGTCGTTTCAATTTATACTTTGGGTCAGGGTTCAGGGTTAAAAGATGATTGAAATCAAAAAGCTAGCTAGCTAAAGAACCGGGATTTTTTAAGCTATCTGCGTCTACCATGCATCTATCTACGAGCGTTATAATATCCTATAAATTCTTTAAGCTAAGCTACCGAATGAAACAAAACAGAAGGAATCATTATCGTGGATTTGTACTTCGCTTATCTCTCATTGGATTAACGTTTCATTGAGATACGTCTACTCACATACTTTTCAGCGTAGGTTATTCACAGTCAAGTTGCTATTGTTGAAATGAAGATAAAAGGACATACAAGTAGTAAAACGCCAAAATAATTTTAAATTAATAAACAAGAGAGGAGAATAGTGAGAGGCTTATGTATTCAGTTATTGTGAAAATGTGATGATTACGCTGAAAAGTTACATGATTCGGTCGCTCGCTACTAGTATAGAAACTCATTAGAATTAGAAGCAACGGTAAAAGGTTACTAAGGATTGTGTTCGTTCGTTCTTAGTAGTAAGAAATTATAAAATTTTGTCAAAAAAACAACAAATTAAAATTTACAAAGAAATTTAATAAAATGGTTTTAACTCAAATCATCACAAATTAAACTAAACAATTTCGGCTATAAAATATAATATAAAGGAATTAGTTTGCCAAAGGAGTTCTTCAGTAAAACGAGTTCTTGAGTGGAGACCGCGTCTCGGCCAACGTAGTGTAGGACGCCCACAGGCCAGGTGGAGTGGTGATTTGCATAAGATGGCTGGCAGGAGCTGGATGCGAGAAGCCCAAAATCGATCTAAGTGGCGTACAATGGGAGAGGCCTATGTCCAGCAGTGGACTGCGATAGGCTGATGATGATGATGAGTTTGCCATACTTCGGTACATTAAAACTATATAAATAACTCGTCTCTAAATATCTCATCTCTTTATCCAATACCATTTACTTAAAGTATCTACTATCAATAAAACTAATCACATTAAGTTTGCAGATACAAAATCACATAGGAAAAGTACCTACACTATTTCAGTTCCTAATGAATATAGCGCTAGCGAAATGTGTACGTACACAAACATAAATAAAGCGCTCCAAGCTGGATATAGGTGCTATTGACATTTAGGATTGCCAAGGCAGTAACGTGATTTTACAGATTCTATTACATTTTTCAAAGAAATCTCTGTTTCAAATGTTTTTGATTCCGAATTATAGTCATAGAACTTCCGTGATTAAATAAATAAACAATTAAAAGGAAAAGCCAATGAGATTTACTACATTAGTACACATAAAAATATAATGAGTCACTCTTAAGCTTCTGGGTTAGTTATAGCCGGTGCATAGGCAACAAGTTATAGTAGTAGTATGCAGTATTATAGCAGTTCTAACTTCTTTTGGTCAAACGGTCGGTAATCGTTTATATGGTCTGATTAAAATCGTTTTGATTTCTACACTGTCCAAATATTTGTACTTAAGCGAATTTGTTACAAATATAATATTATTTCGTAATATACAGATAAATTCAGATGTTAAAAACCATATTTAAAAGATCGCCATGTTTCGCCAATAGACATACAAAACAATAAAAGTAATTCACTATTCACCTGTATTATACAGGAATAATTAATTTAAAGTCCTGTAATCACATACTTATTGAATAAATAAAATACCCAGAACTAGGAAACAGTTAGTCAATGTGCATTAAAATTTATAATAAAATTCCTAGTCATTATACATTTGATTTACTTACTACCAACCACCACTTTGTATCCTCATTTAAAGCAATTAAAGTATTTGTATTTGTAAAAAAAAATAGACGTTGATTTGATTTCTTAATTAAATGATATACTGATACATGACGATTAATTGGGAAAAATATTAAAATAATTTAAAATGTCCAACTCAATATGTCAAATAATTAACAATCAAAAATGTCAAACTAAACTACTACTACTACTTAATTGTAAAGACCTAATTATATACATAACT